ATGTACCGAAATAGGTTTAAGCTTTGAATTAAGTTATTAAAATATTTTACAAATACACATTGCCCATATAGCTAATAAACCAATTTTCCGAGGCTTTTTTGGTACATATTTTCATTGGAATCTATTTACACGTGGCAGGTCCCATACCCAGCGCACAACTCATTGCCGGGACGGGGGTGGTTCCTCAATCGAATACACCTGAATGTCAAAGTCGAACGCCGGGTAGCAGGAGTGATAGGTTTTCAAACCAAGACGCTGAGCCCATCACTAGGCAGGTCTTCATTGCCCATTTTTACACCGATGCAAACCACTAAGTGTAGTTTTCTTAGTTTTTTAGTTGCAGTTATTTGTATAGCCTATGCATAGGTTACTAATGGCTTTACGGCAGTGTTGACTGACCAATAGGTCATTTTTGTGAGTAAAGCACCATGTTTAACCAAAAAGCATACACAAAAGTGTTTAATAAAAAGTTACTGACGATATTTCGCTCCACTAGAGAATTCTATTTCTGCTTCGCCCAAAATGAGTCATACATAATTTTTCCTTCAAGTGAATGGCAAAATAATAAAATCAATCAATAAGTATATAACTAACTCTATTTGCTCCTAAGAATCATATACATATGTATGCTCATCAAGCTCGATAAATAAGCAATCCTCCTGAGCTTTCCAAAAGTATGTACCCCAAAAAACCGGCGGCATTTGCTTAATAATAGACAATTTAATCTCTACCGCAAATGTTAACCATTTTTATGCGACACTCTTATAATTTTCAATACGAAACTGTTTGTATTTTATCTAAAATTACTTAGGAAAGCTGGGTGTCATTTTAAAACGGATGCATCACCAAATAAAACTTTCCTAATTTAACTTTGAAAACTTTTGCGCGCGCGCGCAATTACTGAAATAAGTACGTTTTGCCGTTTTATATACGAAAAAGCATTCATGCTAGCACATTGACGTTATTTATAAGTAACTTACAAATAAACATATCTACATAAGTACATATGTATGTGTGCATGTATACATATTAATATTTATGTATGTATATCCAACATTATTTAAGGTTATTTTACTTATTTATGCACATATCGTCGTTTAAATTAAAAAACCCGCGTATCGTGGTTCTGCAAAACCTCGTAACTGCCATTTGTGAAAAAAAAAACATACTTGCGCACCGGATACTCCCGACATCAAGCTCTTATCAATTCAAACGAAATTATCGACATTCATATATATATACTATGTAAGAGAAATAGATAACCTATACCAAAGGTTCCCAAACCTATTTTTCTCGAAGATCCCTTTTAAAACTTTACCGGTTTCGGTGGACCCCCTGCTGCTACATGTCTAACATATATCCAAAGCTCGTCAAAACATGTGTAGATTAGATCTAACCATGATAAAAATATAGCAAGGTAAAACCGTCCTCTCAATTTGTCGGCCATGATTTTTTTTGTTTGAAGTTTACCAACATTTTAAAATCATATAAAAGTGAAAATAAAAAAATTAAATTGTTCGAAATTGTTGTTGCTTGAGTTTGAAAATGTGTGTGTGAGTTTGTGGGTAAATTTAAAAACTAAATTGTTTGGAAACGTCAAGAATTACTACTACTATATTTTTATCATGGATCTAACGAAAGCTTAATTCGGAGTGGCAAAAATATAAAAAAAATATTTTCATGTTTGCTGTTTATTAAAATAATGTGATTGTGATTGTGTGTGACATAGTTTCAAGTTAAAGAAAAAAAAATGCCATCAAAGTACTCTCTGGCTCTGAGGAGTTGTATTTTTAAGAGCACTCCGAGCGCTAGCGTTATTTAAATCCTCTTCACCATAAACTCCTCCCTCACATGTTCGGCTCACTCATGAATTTGCATGTGGCGTATTTGTAAAATAGTTTATTGCATGATACAAAAAAGAAGGTGGTTTCAAATTGAAAATTGAAACATTCAATCATGATAAAAACATAACAAGGTAAAACCATTGAGAGGCAGTCTGACGTTTGCCTTATAACAATTATAGTCAACAATTTTTATTGAGCTTGAGGCCGTTTTTTAATGAAAACTTATTGTAGAAAATGAAAAAATGGTAGAAGTGATAGCTATTTCGGAAATCACTACATTTCCTCATCAGACTGTGGAAAAGCGAAAAAAATTAACAAGGCGAACTTAGCACAGTGCGTAGGCAACTGGCTGAGTCAGTGGGATCGTCGGTTCGAATCCTACTGAAAGAAGTACCTTTTAAAAATAATGAATATCTTTTCTTAAAAATGTCTAAATTTTACATAAACTCATTCGATAACTACTTGCCAAAATCTTTATTTTTACATTAATAAAATTTTAGTGAACATATTTTAATTTTTTTTTAGTGTCATTATGTCATCTGATTATTTCACAATATAGCTAGCCAGGACTATTATAATTTTCTATATCGGATACGTTTATTTCTGATATATTACAGACACTGAAATTACAATTTCCATATTGTTTTTGTCCATGTCTTTCAAGTAACTTGAAAACGGAATTTACTTTGGAAGCCAGAGGCCTCATGGTTTTCAGATAAGTAAGTGTTATCTAATTCTAGTATATTTCGACAATATCGTTGTTTCTGTGGGTAAAACAAGTATATTTTACTGTTCAATATTGGAGGGGGTGTGAAACAAAATTGATGATTTATTGTTGGTATGAAAACTAGAAATACAGTTTACAGTTATCAACTTAAAAAACAAAAGGAGAAATTTATTGTACAAGTAACCGAGCCGTACCCAACAATATACCTTTTGCTTGTTCAAATTTAGATTCCAAGAAGAAAATGTAAATGTAATGTAAATAACCAAAAAATTAATAACAACATTTGGAGGGTTTTAGATATTGGATATGGTAGCATGAGATGTCACAATCTACTTAATTGTCAGGTTGTTAATATGGCGACGAAAAAGTGACAATGAAACTATCTTCTTTTTTGTATCATGGTTTATTGTGTTGCTGTCGTCATTTTTATTTTTATAGCTCCGAGTTTTAAAGTGATGCGAAAAATATTTATCACTCACATTTTTAAACACACAAAACTTGAAACAACAAAACCACAAAGCTTTTTACGCCTATCTTTAAATTCGAAACTGACAGTTGAGAAAACACCGATCTAGAAAAATCGATGACAAACAACCAAACAAGCAAGAAGCACAAAAAGTGTTCCACTGTCTCATCCTCAGTTAAGGTAGGAGGGTCAAATGGAGTTGTAATTTACGCCTATCACAGTCAGGTGTTGTGTGACTGACTTCTGTCTGCTCAGTAAGAGCAAAAAACTAGATTGACCTTCTGAGATTGAAGTCCACATGAGTTTCGCCTACCTGCATTCCCTCGATGCCTCCCAGTCATTGCTGAGCGAATTATTCATCCAGTTTCTGATTGTGGCTTCGATGGCCGAAGTGTGGAGTGCTATAACTGGTTGCGGATCGAGGAATGCCTGGTCTAAGTCAACTGCGGCCAAATGATCAGATGTCTTATTACCAGGTACTCCTGAGTGACCTGGTACCCAGATTAAAGCAAGCTCGTTATGTTTACCAATATAATTTAGCCCAGACTTGCATTGCCGAACTAGTTTGGAAATACTTAGATAGAGGGCTGGCCACTGCGTTAAGTGCAGCTTGGTTGTCACTGCAAATACGTAAACTTCTTCCCCTCCACCTATTTTTCACCACGTAGTCCATGGCTTTGACGATTGCAAATACCTCAGCTTGGAAGACTGAAGCATATTTTCCAAACGAAAAGTTATGCCTATCCCCATTAACTTAAAAAAAGACCCCAGATCCTGACCCAGAATCAGTTTTGGAGACATGAGTGAAGATTCGTGCCACTCAGTGTTATACCAACATCCGCTTCTTTTTAGTCTGTAGGTGGCCCCTAAAGCTTCCCCACGTATAACGACACAAAGTGATGCTAAATGCAGCAGTACGTCAAGAGAACTATGCACCACTCAAAAATTAAAATTGAATTAAAGGGACTACCAAGCAACCATTTTGGTTCTTTACTATCGAAGATATATTTTCGTGGACCCCCACTTAGAATCCGTGGACCCCTGGGTGTCCACCTGTACCAATATGGGAATCACTGATCTATACTATTTATATAATAACTGGCAGACCCGGCGAATTGCTTTCATATATCTCCATACCATGTTCGACTACTCTACCATGAACATTTCCATAGATATGCAGTATGAAAAATTCGGTTTGTATGGGAAGTGCCACGCCCCCGGAACTTAGCGGCATGAAATATACTTTACATCCGATCCTCATTCCTACCATATATACACAAAAAATTTCATAAAGATGGGTCGAGCCGTTTAGGAGGAGTTCGACCACAAACACCGTGACACGAGATTTTTTAATATTGGATTTTTTTTTTTGGTAACAGGTAATCTCGCGAACGGCTGGTCCGATTTTCATAAAATTTTGTATATAAATAGCTTTCGGCAACCACCATGTTATAGACAAAAAAAAGAAATACTTTTTTCCGTAGGTAGAGCAGGCACCGATCTATTCGAAAAAGTCGTATTTATGGTCCAGTTTGCTTGAAACTTGGCTCGTGGGTAGCTGTTTACCGAAATTAACATATAGGATCCGTTTCCGTTTTCCGGTCAGTGGACAAGTGACCGATCTATTCGAAAGCATCTAATTTATGGTAGTAGGTAGTTTATTGCCTGGATTAACATATAGGATGTTACTCAGTAATCTTTTTGTCTCTTGGATCGAAGCTTATTATGTGTATGTACAAGCATTTATTTTACGTGCACCACAACTTTAAAGAAAGAAAACCAACTTTTCAGCACTGATAAATCTTTAGTAACTTACAAAACTGTAAAATTTTATTCGGAATCAGCGTGTCACTTTATTACAAAATTGTCAAAATATTTTCACAAATTTCATTCAGTTTGTAATCGCATAAATACATACTTATACATAAGTATGTGACTGAAAGGCCAAATTTCTGCTTTAAAAATGCTGTCCGATTCAGCGGTTAGCAGTGACCATTCCGACGAGCACTTGATGCCCGCGAGTTACCACTGGATACGCTTTAAATGGATGCTATTCAAGGATTCCTGCAAACATTGGAATAACATTCCCGTATTTTTGTTTGCTCTACTAATGCCTAGCATCTGCTGTTTGATTGTTGTTATTCTACGTTATCAGATACCAGGTCAACATATAACAGCGACGAATTTCCCGGTAACAAATATTAGATTCTCGTGGCTTAAGTTATTAATGCTCATAACCGAACGTCAACAAAAATTTGCCGAATACCATGGCGGGTAAGGTAACTTTATGCCCGCATGTCACAAATATATATGTATGTATAGTATACACAAACAGGTGTATTAATTTAAATTTTGCCCATAGTAATGCCCATAGCACTGAACAACAGACATATAACTCATTTACTCCACGAATAACTATTGCTTATGCGCCCAATTTCGAAGCTATAAGAAACATAATGCACCAGGTGTATTCTAATTTTTCGCTGAGAGGTAATGAGTACGTGATATTCTCAACTTGTGATGAACTTCGCGAGAAAATGTCAACAGATTATTATTTAGTCGGTGTTTGTTTCAATGCGGCCTATTTTCAAATTGAAACCGAATCCATTTACAAAGTGGGCATTTATCCAAATAGATTGGATTATAGTATCATATTGCCCAGCGAGTTGCGTAGCTACCAAAAACTTGGCGATACTTGGGATACAACAGATCTGTATGCGCAATTAGGTTCCTATGAGCATAGTCATGGATTTGAAAATTATATCAACGAAGGATTTATTATGATACAAAAAATGATCTCAGAAGCATATATTCATTTAATAACTAATTCAACAGTACCTGCCGGTAATATAATAAATTTACGTAGATTTCCCGTAGCAGAACACTACTATGATCCCCTTGCGGATGTGTTGGAAGTGCGCTTATCTTTGCTGCTGGTCGGAGCGTATACGCCTTTGATATTATATTTAGTTTGGGTGTGGAAAGTAATTTAAATATTTTTGTGAAAAAAATGTTTTAATTTTTCTAAAATACTTGCAGTTCTTAGTCCATGAACGTGAGGCCAAATTGGATAAGTTATTGGGAATTTTGGATGTGACTGCCTTGGAGCAGTTCTACAGTTGGTTCGTTTTTACCATGGCCGCAATGTCAGTCGGCACTATTATTTTCCTAATTATCTTAAAGGTATGTTGCAAGATTATATGATTTGGAAAACGATATTTTGACAATTTTTGATTAATTTATTTTCGTTTGTTTAATATTTTTTTTTTAAGTTTTATTAAAGTTCCGTTACTTATATAATACTTAAACCCCATATAAATCCACACATCAGACTTTATAGGTGAAATTTAAAAAATTTTCACAACAACAACCTTTTTATTCATGGGCGATTCCGCCGTCACGGGTGGGACATTTGAACAGATTAAATTGTTCTCGCTTGTTTAAATTTAAGTATAAAATACTGAATAATTCTACATTTTAATAAAGCTAAACCTAATTGACTATTATATGAGTTACTAGTGAACCCGTATGGCGTCAAAACGCCAACATTTAATTAAAATTTCTACACAGGTGAAACCCTATTCAAAAACTTCTAAACATATTCCTAATGATTAATCTAAACAATTTCTCAGTGATGAGAGAGAGGTCTTGCATGGTGTCGGTTTTCATTTCATCAAATTTCAAATCTCCCTGTAACTTCAAAAAATAAAACTTGTGCACATCTATGTAGAATCTCAATTCTTTAATTTGACTTCTAATTTTGGAAATTCGAAATAACGGTGCAGATGTGATGATCTTCAAAGAAAAAATAGATGGCAACTCTAATTAAAAATATTATCAGCCTATAGTTTTCTTAAAACTCTTTCGTTTGACACTACTATTTCGATATTTCATTTATGTATCTTTCGTATAAGTAAAAGAAATTCGACTTTTCAAACAGGTGGCAACCCCTTTAACGGTATTTTCAAACTAAAATCTTTCGCCTGGCATTGTTATACATATTTCAATTAACTGATGAATTAAATTGAATTTAATTTTTTTTAAGCACATGGCAACTCTCCTAAATACAGTTTAGAAATTAATCATTTTCAAATCCATTTCGATTGATACCCATCTTTTGACAATCCATTTAACTTATTAAATAATTTGAGCTTAATTTTTTCAACAAAAAAAAAACCAAATGTTCACCTTAAAGATTTCTTAACACTCGTTCTTTTGATAACCATATTTTAAAATTTCATGTAACTTATGTATATTTAAATGAAATACCACTTTAAAAACAGGCGGCAACCCTCTTAAATATTATTTTCGAGCTAAAATGTCCTGACATTGTCATAAATATTTCAAGTAATTGATGAATTAAGTGGAAATTCATTTTTTAAACACGTGGCAACCCTCCTAAATATAGTTCTTAAATAAAGGATTTTAAACCCATTTCCATTGATTACCATCGGTTAGTAATTCATTTCAGAGCACTTTGATTTGGCACCTCACTTTTGAAAACCGAACGAACGGTGTGGATCTGATGGCATTGATTATTAAATTATTTGAATGCAATTTTTTATCAATTCTGGCAATTCTTTTCGAAAAAGTAAAACCTTACTGTACATCTACAGACCAAGCGCTTTAATTTGACATCTTATTTTTGAAAATCAGGCGAACGGTACAGATCTTGCACAAAAAATCCCTTCGCGTATTATTTTGAACTTAATTTTTTTTTGCCGGTAAAAATAAATGTATAAAGGAAAAAAATATTTTTTGCCTAAAATATAAAATTTTTTTAAAACTGTTGATTATGTAGAAAAACGTTATATGAACAGATTAAAGGAATTGTAATTTTTAAATTTTTTAAATTTGTTTGAGCAAAATTTGACCAGTGGTTCTTGAGTTATGTCAAAAAAAGACCACCAAAGGTGACAATTTCCCCTATATGATAGTTATATATATATCTCGATTCCTAGACGTGACCCAGCGAAACACCGAGATACGTATAACTTCTTTTTTACCGATATAACTTTCCCCGGTAGTTTGAACCCTTCCCGATCACTGACCCTTACCATTTGTCTCACAGTGTTATGAGCTTAATAAACTAATAGTGAGAGTCAAAGTGTGAATTGTTGTTGTTGCATTGTAACAAAGAGAAAGGGATTAGTTTAGAGAAAGTCATTAAAGAAGAGATCAGTTAGTAATTGAGCAAATTAGGAAAGGTGAAGAAGAGGTGTGGGAAGATAAGTAGGAGAGGTAAAGAGAGAATGAGTAAAGAAGTGTGTGTTGTTGGTAGTGGGAGTGTGGGTATGTGACTATATGGAAAAAATCTGAGTTATTTCTTCTGTCACGGGTGGGACAAAATGAAGAACCTGCTTTTGAGAGCAGATATATTTTACGAAAAGTCTGCGAATTTATTTCACTTTTCTGTGTGAACTTGATGTCTTATAATAAAACAAAAAACCACGTGTGCAAATAAAGTAAAAACTGCAACAGAAATGATGGCTTTATTATCAAAAAAATCCGAAATTCCTCTGTCACAGGTGGGACAACATTTTTCACGGGTGGAACATGTACGAATTTTTATATGAAAAGGAGCTTTTAGTGTGGTTCATATTAAAGACTAGTTATTAAAAAATATAAGAAGCCAAGTAGGGGTTCAATTCACTCACGTTTTATCTTAGTACATATAGTGCCGTTTATATAGAAGAAAAAGCCTAGCACCGTTAGCCAAAATATCTCCTAGCGTCTTGAAATGTTCATTTTTTCCTACTTAAATTTAATACGCTATAAAACTTATTACCTTGAATATTTCTAAAAATTGTGAACAAAAAGTTTAAAATTTTTGGATGTAACTGTTAAAATTTGTTGAAATTTATAATTTTTGTACGAAGTTTGAAATAGAGCTCTCGATTTTGTTCGCACATTTTCAAACAGCCCGGCTATATGAGCAGCGAGTACTCGCACACTTGTTCAATGCTCATTACTCGAAAATTTTCGAGCATCGAGCTACTCGCATTGCTCGATACCCGGGTATCTAGAGTCCTAGTTTGAAATGTGGATTTAAGTGGTTCTGGTTATGTAATGTGCTAGACTTTTATAAAAAAAAACTATGACCATAAAATAAACAAAAGAAAAACCCAAAACTGGTCAAAATGTCACTTAACTTAATCAGCTGACCACAAGGGTTTATAGGTAATGGGCGAGTCCGTGCTTCCGCCCTTCTCCCCTGCGTCCACCTCAACAAACAAATAAAGCTTATCAGCCCTGTAAACTTACCTCTAGCAACTGTACCACCCGTAGCCGTCACGGCATTCTGATTAAANCCAAAACTGGTCAAAATGTCACTTAACTTAATCAGCTGACCACAAGGGTTTATAGGTAATGGGCGAGTCCGTGCTTCCGCCCTTCTCCCCTGCGTCCACCTCAACAAACAAATAAAGCTTATCAGCCCTGTAAACTTACCTCTAGCAACTGTACCACCCGTAGCCGTCACGGCATTCTGATTAAACGGCCTCCAAATAAAAACCGCATATTCGAGATGTGACCGAACAAATGACGAATACAGTAACTTGAATGTATAAGGATCCGAGAATTTTGAGGCATTGCGTCTTACAAAGCCTAGAACAGAATACGCCTTTGCAGTTACATAGCTAATGTGTTTATTGAAAGAAAATCGATCATCAAACACTACGCCAAGGTCTTTTATCTCATCTGGACGATTTAGATCATTAGCCGATATATGATAGCTGGTAAGCAGAGAATTGGAAATTTTAGAGTAGATACGTTAGTTGAAAACATTTACTAGTGTTCAAGGAAAGGCGTGACTTCAGACACCACAAATGAAGCTTATCAATTTCATCTTGGAGCCTAATAGCATCAGATGTGTTTTTAATTACAGAGAAAACTTTTAAATCGTCCGCATAAAGCAGAAATTTTGCAAAAGAAAAACAACTACTAATGTCATTGATGAAAAGTACAAAAAGAAGCTGACCTAAGACACTACCCTGTGGCACTTCAGAAGATGGAACGAACGGGCTAGAAGTAGCCCCGTCAATTGAGACAACACACCGTCTGTTAAACAAGTACGACGAAGTCCAGCCAACGCAGAAAAATAAAATGAAAGCCAATGCAAGCAAGCTTTTGAATTAATATACTATGTGACACTCTGTCAAACGCTTTTGAGAAGTCTGTATAAATACAGTCAACTTGAAAACCTAACGAAAAAGACTCGAAACAATATTCACCGAAAACAGCGAGGTTGGAGACAGTAGATCTACCAGCGACAAACCCATGCTGATATGGGGAGATAATAGATTTAACTGCGAAACTCAATTTGGCATTGACAGTGTGTTCAAAGATTTTCGAAATAGCGGAAAGCTTAGAAATAGGTCTATAATTACGCACGTCACTTCTGTTACCATTTTTAAAAACTGGCATTACCGTCGTAAGCTTCCAATCATCAATAAAAGTACCTGAAGATAATGACTTGTTAAAAATTAACTTCAAGGGATAAACTAATGCTGGACAATTTTTGATTAAAGTTGCAGATAGGCCACTTAGGGGTCTTAGAGGGTCTTAGTTTAATTATACCATTACTAGCACAAAAACAAAAGGTGATAGAACCTTTAACTGGGGCTTGAATTAAAGCTATAACTCTCGGCTACTATCCCTGCACCTTGACCTAATGGTCACTAAAAGTCATTTATTGAACAATATAAAAATACTGGAATAAATACTGTGCTATTGAAAAAAATAAATAAGTTTTGCCAAAATCAGTTTTTGGTGTTAAATAAATAACTATAATTTACCTTATGGTTAAGGTTCAGGGATGATATTTAAAGCGATTGTAGTCGAAAGTTCAAGCCTTAATTTCAGTCCAAGTGGAAGGCTCTATCCCCTTTTGTTTAATTGCGGTGGGTACTCAAACTTCGCACAAAATCAGGTTTTGCTGTTCAATGAATGACTATAAGTGGCCATCAGGTCAAGGTGTAGGGATGGTACTTTCAGGGATAGTAGTCGAGACTTCTAGCTATAATTTAAGCCTAATATTGCCAAAAAAACCCGACTTTTTGACGTTTTGACTTCGTTTTTTACAAAATCTGGAGCTGATGGATACCTTATGCTCATAGACTCGTAATCAGCACTGACAAATCAATCAAAAACAGCTGTAACATTTGCCGCAACAAATTTTTTCCCATTTTTGTCGCCATTCATTATAGATCATAAGAAGAAGCTTTCTTTACTAGGCTCATAATTTTATTTTTAATTGTAAGCTTTAGTAATAGATATGTAAATAAATAAATAAAATTCGATAATAAAATGCTTTACTTAGAAAGAACTATACATGTTAAAGCAATATTTAAACATAAAATGAATTTTAAAGTTAAAAGTTACTTAACAAAACGGCCCTACGTGTGTTTATATTTTCAATATTTTGTTTTTCGATGCCGTCCCTGTTAATTTGGAACAGTTTTTAACATTACATTGACTATTGATAGTACTATCGATGGTAGCGTTTGACACTATCGATCGATAGTATTGCTGGAAACTATGAACGAGTAATGATAGTTTTTTCCTGAAACATGGATAGTGCCACCATTGATAGTTTTACAACTCTAGTCTGTAGGACCCTACTAGAAACTGCTTGTTGGGCACCTTCCTTGCGAGAGTTTAGGCTTTACTGTGGATGTGATGTGCTGGTGACATCAGAAGGCATCCCACAGCTGTCCGGAGTGCTGTGTTGTGGCATGTATGCAGCTTTAGCCACTGTGTCCCAAATGTCCGCGGCCCACGAGCGCTGCATAGTTTACCACCGGCTGGCCAATTGCCGTGAATGTTGGCAACAACTTTTATTTTTCTTTGCCCCAAGTACCGCTGAATTGAGAAATTGAGAAATTTGCCTCGGCTCTCTATTTTGTTGGCAATTGAGGTTGTGGGTACCAAGAAAGAGAGTTGGAGAGCTTGGAGGATTTTCCGTTTCTTCACCGCTGTCGGGATTTTGTCTTGCCTGTTAATTGTGTATTATGTCCTGTCTGGATTGTTTATTGTCTGGATTTTTAAAAATTCTCTGGATTTTTTCTTGTCGGGTTCTATAAAGTTGGGATTATGGAGTGCTTTCAATTGGACTTTCAAAGCCAGCCGCCCAAATTTATATTAAAATAATATTTTTTTTTTTAAATCTTAAGCTCTATACCTCTTAAAATATACTTTACAATACATGTTTGTAAATAATACTTCTGTACATACGAACAGTTAATCTTCTTTATTTTATTTTATTTTATTTTTTTTTCAGATTCCATGGAACCATGGCTTTGGTGTCTTCAATAGATCTTCTTTTAGCTGCTTATTCGCCTTGCTTACTGCCTTCAATATAAATGCACTCAGCTTCTGTTTTATGATATCGAATTTCTTTCGGAGTCCCACATTAGCTGTTGCTGCAGCACCAATGTTTTGGGCCTTACTCTGTATACCATATGCTGCTCCAACCGAATCAAATTTTGTTTTTGTTTCCGTTTTCGGTAATTCCGCATTTGGGCAAGCCATGCACAACATATTTCAACTTGAACACTATAATGGCCTTAAATGGTCTAACTTATTCAAGCACGACGATTTGCCCGAGTATTACTACAGTGTTGGCACACTTGGTGTGATAATGTTTGGTTTAAGCATAATCCAAATATTAATTGGTATATTTGTACAGAAGATATTCAATAAATTAAACAGATTCTTCATCAAATCATTCAAACGAAGTAAGAGTGAAACCCGCGAAACCACGGAAAGCACGCGATATTCGAGAACCATTTTATTTGAGGTGCGAGCAACGCACAAGCCGGTATTAGTGGAACTGTCATCGATTACAGTGGAGCGAGGGAATAAAATAATTCTCAATGACATTGCGTTAACTCTCTATGAAGATGAAATCACTATATTGATGGGACATAATGGCAGTGGTAAAACCACGCTGCTACAGGTTATTGCTGGTTTCATACAACCCACTTCGGGTAAAGTTGTGCTCAAAGAGACCATTCGGGAAAATACTGTAGATAGCTCCCGCGATTTTATGGGCGTCTGTTTTACAGATTCCCTGCTATTTCAACAGCTAAATGTCAAACATCAGTTGACGCTTTTTGGTAGATTGAAAGGCTTAAACTCAAATGATATGAAAAAAGAAGTGAAAAGATATTTGGATGCGCTTGAATTGGACGAGGTTAAATATAAACGTACAGAATGGCTGACATGTGGCCAACGCAGCAAATTGGCTGTGGGTTGTGCACTTATTGGTGGTAGTAAAATTGTTGTATTGGATGATGTGACCTTGAAGTTGGATGTGCGTGACTATCAGCTTATCTGGAGATTGCTGGAGAAAGAGAAGTTTGGCCGTTGCATATTGGTAACGTCTAATTCAAGCTATGAACCCGAACTACATGCTGATAATGTGGTAATGTTGGCAAAAGGACGACTAAAGTGTGCCGGAACTCCACAGTTTCTAAAATCCATGTACTGCTTAGGTTTTCACTTGGTGAGTAGCAAAAAAAAAAATTGTTTTAACATTTTCTTTGATCTGGGAAGGGGGAACTAATTTGGCTAAAACCTATATTTGGGATAGAAGTGAAATAAAAATAAAAAAAAGCTCAGTTCTGAATATTGCGGAAAGTTATTTTCCGAAATGAAAAAAATTTTCATTTAGAAATCTGTTTGGTAAAGTCCATCGTCCTAAAAGAAAACAAAGCAATATTTTGTAAATTCGAGACAGCTGTGATGCACTCAAATTAATTGGGAGCAGCAACGATCAGAGAGAGCTTTTGCTCTGCTCGCGTTCATACCAAATCTAAAGAGAGCTTTAAAACTTCGCCCGCGGTATATTTTTTGGTCATAACTGTATTATCGCAGTGTTGGACAGGGCAAGCTAGAAAGCTTGTATTATGTATTAGCCGCAAATTTGTACAGAGCTTTTAAAATTTTGGCGCGCGTGCTTATGAAGTGACCAACTGTGATTTACAAAGCAATTATGGCATCTGTCTTTCAATCAGCAATGAGCAGAGAGAGCTTTCACTCTGCACGCGCCTATACAAAATGTATAGAAAGCTTAAGAGAGCTTTGCCCGCGGGAACGGAAGTGCCCATAACCGCTTTCAATTGACCACAGTCTTTCGAAAGCCTTTGTCACTTTGAAAATGTCAAATCTGGCAACTATCTTGAAAGCTTTTTCTGTATTTCGAACATATATGTAATACTCCTATATTGGCAGTAAGAGCTAGTAAGGTCCGAAAACACTACAGTACAGATACATATATCAATAAACACGTACGAAAGAAAAGGAACACACACACATTTATAAATAAACATGTACACAACACTATTTTTTTATTTAATTAATAAAAAAGAAAAAAATATAAAATAAGGTCCGAAAACTAAACAAAATATATTTAAGTAAGTTTCTTTTTAAAAAATAAAATTTAAAACTCAAAAGAAAATTAAATTCAAAAAGGGGGAAAAAAATCTGTTGCCCAGGGATTCAAACTTCAGATCTCTCGAATGAAAGGCAAGTGCTTCGCTAACTCAGCCAATGCGACCATAAGAGAATAAACATCTCCATTTGGAACATGCTCAACTGCTTTATGTCAAAAGAGCTTTTCGCCTTGAAAGTTGGCTAGGGAGCTTTTTTTGTATGACTGTCATGATGCAATAAACAAAATCTTTCAAAATATCTTGCCTGGAGTCCATGACTCGTCCCAGTTTTGGTTTAGTTCTGGACGAGAACAAAATGTAATGCCAAAAACGTTCCCACAAAAGAGCTAAACGGGAACTAAAGTATTGAGAGCAAAACAAAATGCGAACAGAACTCACGGAAACGTTCTCAAAATGAAAAGAATTAGAACGAAACTTTCAGGAACGTTCTAAAAAAGAACATAATGAGAACGAAACTTTCGGGAACGTTCGCAATGAGAACAAAATAAGAACGAATGTATCGAGAACGTTTTCAAGGAGGAACAAATAAGAACAAAAGTCTGAGGAAAGTTCTGCTAGAGAACAAAGCGAGAACAAAAGTTTTGAGAACTTTACGTTAAGAATGGGAGGGGCGTCTGCGTGTTGGAATGAAAAATCGTTTCAGTGAGAACCACGATTTTTAATTACTTCAACTTTCAGATCGTTTAAAATTAGAGTTAATTGTCTATTTATGGAACAATTTTTTTCTTTTTACGTGCAAGAGAAGCTCGTATCTAAAGTCTTTCGTTGACTTTTTTGCATAATTATCGTTCAGTTCTTGTTTGATTAATTTTAAAATTCAAACATATCAAATTAATGGAAAGCTACGAGAAAAAATTTGTTCTCGCTTTTTTTCTTCGCGAATAGTTCAAAGAAGATTTATTCCTGTTTCGTTCTCTTTCAAAAAGTTCTGGAGATTTAAGTTCCCAAATTATTCTTCATGAGAAAGTTCCTTAGACTTTTCTTTGCCAAAATGTTACGGAGACTTTTGCTCCCATTTTATTCTCTTAGAAATGTTTCCGACAGTATTATTCGTATCTTGTTCTCTTTGGGAACGTTCCGCACGATTTTGTTCTTATATAATTGCCATTGAAAACATGGTCGACAGTTTTTTCTCATGCAACTAACTATCTTAGACAGAATTGTCCTGTTAGAAGCGTTGGTGACCAAAACATATCCCGCGGGAGAAGCTATCAATGGATTTCAGGTAGATTGTGGTAAGAGTTAAAGCTCTGTCTGATCCTCACTGGTCAATTTATTTAAGTTTAAGGTTGATCAGCACTGATTTCGTTTTATCAGTTAGATATTAAAAATTATCCGCCTGCAATACACTTTTTGTTGAGAAGACAACTTGGATTCAAAGGGCAGCTAAATTTTGAAAGCTTTTTTGAGAAAACGGCCCTAAAAGTTCACTAGAATTTTTATTCATATTTGAGTTAAAATATTTTCTACTCTAAACAGCTTCCAACCTTTCTAAAAGAAAATATCTTTTAGTTTTTCTATCCTCTATATACTTAGATTATTTCTAAATCAGAACAATGTAATCCCGCAGAAGTAACAAAACTTTTGAGTAAGTTCATGCCAGATATTTCACCGACAAGTGATCTCGTGCAGGAATTAGTCTATCTTATCGAAACAAGTGACGTAGAGATAATTGAAAAAGCTTTTCGAGAATTAGAAGCAGCTAAGGAAAGGCTGGGCATCATAAGTATAGCCATCAATGAGACGCCTATAGAAGAACTATTTTGCAAGTTGGGTGCCGAACGACCAGCCTATGATGATCACAAACGCTATTTGAGAATATTTAATGGTCAAAGTATAACATCTGCTGACAGTGGCAGGGCTAGTCGTGCTGGCAGTCGCAGTGGCAGCGCCAGCGGCAGCTACAGTGCTAGCAGCGATGATGATCTACTCTTTATGACAACTCGAAGACGACAACATAAAATTAGTGCAATTCGAAGTATGAGCAATCAGTGGTATGCGATGTATTACAAGTTTTACATCTTCAATTTGGTATACAAATATTTCTTCCCCGCACTCTTTCTCATCCTATTCATTTGTATACTTATATTTGCGTATGCAATGAGACCTGATGAGAAATTATTGCCAAAATTAAGTGCTAATATCGCCGATTATGGTAACTCAATAACACTATTAAGTGTTCGAACGACTCCCACAACTAATATCGAAAACCTATTGGAAAAATATAAACAGTTTATATATTGGAAAAACAGTAATATAAAGACGATAGATATCAAGGGCGAAGCTATAAGTGATAATATGTTGAATCTACAGCGTCAAAATCAATATAATAATTTAAACTTAAAAGTGATACTTGGTCTAACTATACAAAAACATTTTACCGCTTGGTATAATGGATATCTACCTCACGTCGCACCGCTCTCTTTGAATATTCTACATAATGCGCTATTGCGGTAAATTGAGTGGATTTTTCATATATTTTTTTTTTACCCATAAAACTATTTAATTATAAAACTATTGTCTACAGTTACTACTTAAATACAACCGACGCTAAAATACTCGTTACTCTCGAACTGCTGCCTAAACAAATTGGCATTATTGCCTCCGAAATAAAGACAGAAGCAATAATTATTGGCAGCAAGTGGGCTATACTTTTGGCAGTTATCCTATGCTACTTGGTATCCATAAAGGTTATTGTTTTTGTCAACGAACAATCAACGGGATTCGTGAGTCTGCTGCGGAGGGCTGGCTTGAATGGCTTCAATTTTTGGATAACTAGTTTTCTCTTCGATATGGTCAAAATTTGTATTGTGATGGTATTATATCTCTTGGCTGCGTGGTGGCTATTACCGCCACAACATACATCAGGATTTGTTTTGCGTAAGTAAACTATGGTAAATTAAATTTGTATACTTATTATGGTAATTCACTCTCTGAAATCGTGTTTTTTCGAATATCGAATAAATCGCAGTTTGGCTATCAAATGAGCCAGGTTCATACAGAATGTCGCCAATGAATTACGAACTGCACTCAGATGTTTTTTTCTTTTCAAGCTGATCCGAGTTTTTGAATTTTAAATAATTTTTGTATAAATAAACTAGCTTGTCCTCACTCGCATCGCTGAATGTACGAAATTTTTGCATTTTTTTCAATAACATTTCAAATATTTAAATTCAGCCAAAAGCAGGAGATTTTAACTTTTTGTTAATCCTCTTTCGTCTGACACCCGTTTTGGGATGTAATATTTCAATTACCTAATACCCCTAATTTAAGTGGAAGTTCAGTTTTTGAACAGGTGGTAGCACTCCTTTGTGTAGTTTAGAAATTATACCCTTATTGTAGATATTCATTTACCTTTAAACAGGTGACAACCTTCTTCAAAATACTTTCCCAACTACATCCTACTTTCCTACTACTCTTTCATCTGACACCCGTATTTTATACATATTTTTGTTACCTAATAATAATAATAGATTGGCGCTGACACGTAAAATTGTAGATCAATCCTCCTTGTGTGGCAACATCAAAGCGAACGCCACAAATCGGAGGAGAAGCTCGGCCAAACACTAACACATGTGTAAGCGCCAATCTATTATTATTATTATTATTATTCTTTGCGAATATATATATATATAAACTTCTTCATGTACATATGTATGTATATAATAATTTCAGAATGAATTTCGAGTGTGCCACTAAAAATTTTAAAATTGGAATTTTTCTTTCACAAATTATCATCCATCTTATAATCAATGTAATTTTTTTTCATTTGGTCGCACACTAGCTTTATTACTCTAGATTGGTGCGTTCTGGCATGAATAAGTATCTAAAACTTTTAAAATAAAAAAATCGTAAGTTTTCAAAAATTACAAAACAGCTGCGCAAGATATTCTGCATGCTGATTTTTTTTTTTGAATTTGATAGCAGTTTTGAAACTTCACAGATATGCTGTATTTGTTGAACTTTCATTGCCTCTAATATGAACATTCTATTTAAAAACTTCCCAAAGTTGTTCAAAAAAACAATTATGACTTTTTCGTGTGAAAAAAAAAACAAATGTTAATTAAGTGACACTAAAAAACAACTCGTGAGATTTCAATTAACCCTTTAAAGACCAAGGGAAATATGGTTCCCTAAGAATTTCTCGGCTCATAAAAATATTAGTTTTTGAGGAAATATGAATTAAAGAAAACAAAAAATGTTTTAAAACATTTTCGATTAAAGAAACATTAGCAACGTTAAGGAAAAAAATTCCATAAAAAAATACTTTTTAAAACGAAATTTAAGGAAAAAAATATTTTTTTGTGAAACTTTTTTTCTGAGAATTATCCTTTTATAAGGATATTTTGGAAAACATTTATTAAGAAAAAAAGTATTTTCACCAAAAGCAGAAATAATTATAAAAAAAAAAAAATTGGGAAAATTTTTAAAGAAACATTAACAAACATTAAGAAAAAAAATTCCATATAAAATACTTTTTAAAATGAATTTTGAGGAAAAAAATATTTTTTTCTTAAACTTTTCTTCTGAGAATTATCTTTTTGTAAGAATATTTGTTTTGGAAAACATTCGTCAAGAAAAAAAGTATTTTCACCAAATTTTTATGGAAATTGAATTGTTTTCCTTATTTAAAAAAAAAAATTTTAGAAAATAAATTCCTAATAGAAAGTATTTTTTTTTTTGAGTAAAATTAAGTGCTTAGAAATTTTGAGGAAATTGAGTTGTAAGAAATAACTTTTCCTTATTTGTTCTTTAAAAAATTTGTTTAAAATCAAATAAAACGATTAATCAAATTTTGATTTTTTAAACAGATGACAACCCTCTTCAAAAAATACTTTTTTTTGATGAGTTCTCTTAAAGTCCATTACCGTTTGTCGCATGTTTAACTATATTTGATCAATCCCATTAATTGAATGTAATGTAACTTTTTCTACAGGTGGCAACTCTCTTTAAGAATTAAAATAAATATCACACTTTCTTCTTTTAAACGACTATAGTTTAAAGAATTATTGCTTCACAATAATAAAACTGTTAATACTGCATATTAATATCTTACAGGCTGGGTCGCTTCTTTAATTCTACTCGCGGGTGCGGCTTTAATTTCCACTAATTATTTCCTCAGCCAATTTTTTACGAGCAATTATCGAGCCTATTTAGTAATTACGTCACTGCAATCGCTCGGTGTAGCCTGTTTTATAATATTTCCGAATGTATTGAAGGACTTGTCTTCGACTGCAACATTGCCACTGCGTATCTTTCCGCTGTATTCATTTTGTAATGGAGTTTACAACGTATACAAATATAATGAAAAATTAAATTTCTGCAATAACAATATAGTAATAACAACCTTATGTATTGCCATGGAGGAATGTAAACATATAATCGGGAATTGTGGTGAGAGACAAAAAGAAGCAATGAAAAGAAGTAGAGCCTTGAAATAAGTATATGAATATTAGTATTTTGGTTTTTACATTTAGAGAACAAAAAACTACAAGTAGAAGAAGATGCCAAGTACCTTTATGTAATCACTGCGCTCAATTGGCTTGGAATTATGATTTATGAATGCAGACACTTCTTCACGCATGTAGTTCCCTTCGACAATTCGTGAGTACTAACTGCTGCTTCTACTAGGCGCCTGAAAAAAAATAAAACTATTTTTTTTTGCAATTTATTTATAAAGTGAGCGAGCTTTAGATGAGCATAAGCGACGACATGCAAGCGAACCTACTGAAGTGGACAGTGTTACTGCGGAAGCGATAAAAGTACAAGCAATGGAGCCACGAATGCGCAACTACTATACAGTTATTTGCGAGAAATTGGGTCTAATACAAAAGGGAACAATTTTGGTGGACAGACTAACATTCACTATACAACCGTAAGTAGCAACAGTAAGCAGTAAAAGGAGTAAGCATCTGTGTCGTTTTGCTAAAGCACTTGTTTCGTTCACCGCCCGTGCGTTCCTTTTGAAAGAAAAATTATTTTTAAAAGCCGCTCAAAAATAATTTACTACAATTTACATTTGCTGCGCATCTGAAAAACCTAATTCCAAATTTTTTTTACGCACCTAAATAGCTCGGAGCTTCGTACTTGGTGTGAGGGCGATATAGCCCACTTTGAGATGAACCCGGATAACACAAAACAGTTTTTATGANTTTGGAAGACAACATTTCCGAAGAAATTCGGGCTATTCCGGCCGAAATGCTCGAAAAAGTTGCCCAAAATTGGACTTTCCGAATGGACCACCTAAGACGCAGCCGCGGTCAACATTTAAATGAAATTATCTTCAAAAAGTAAATGTCATGGACCAATCTAACGTTTCAAATAAAGAACCGATGAGATTTTGCAAATTTTATGCGTTTTTTTTAAAAAAAAAGGTATCAAGCTCTTAAAAAATCACCCGTTATAAGGACGAGGGGTCAGGGTAATAGCCATGTACCTGGACAATGACACGCCAGTCCCCAACGACAGCGGTCGCACAAATGGTGGCACGCTGGGAAGGGGTTTTGGTCCTGGGAGGTGCTGCGAACGCACATAACAGCACCTGGATAAATGGGAACATCAATGAACGAGGTGATTTACTTTTTGAATCCAAACTTAGAACAACTGTAGTCATAAATAAGTAGTAGAGCCTACCTTTATAAGCAGAAGCAGGAAAGAGGTCCTGGAGGGTGCTTGGTGAGCACTCCTTCTCTGACTATCGCTACGTACAATTTCTCTTAAACTTAAAAAACGCCGACTGGCATAAGTATAGGAAGACGTCGAGGGTTGGTTTCAACCCAAAGTCAGGAAGAACATCCTACACTAACCCGAAAGACTTTAGGGCTATTAGTCTAGTCTATGCCTCCAGCTCAAGATAATGGAGTAACTGATTGAATACCTCTTCAGGGAATCATTTGCAAACAAACGTATGGCATCTCTGTAAGCCTATGTGAAAGGAAGTTCCGCCGAAGCAGCGCTACACGAAATCGTTTCTACTAGGCAGAGTTGCAGGGGAACCGCGAGGGGTGGGGTTGTGTCTCCTCTTGTGTGGGTTTAGAAATTCACGATTTGTAGCAGGTCCTGGAAGGGGAGAGCTCTAAGGTCATTGCGTACGCTGACGGCCTTGCGGTGGTGCGAAAGATCTCGACAAACTCTGTGTAATATCATGCAGGACAGACTAAAGTTAATTGAAAGATGGACCAAAAAGAGACCCTAGGGTGTTAACCCAGTCAAAACTAAGCTGGTTCTCTTTACAAGAAAGTACAAAATACTTTCACTGCATCTCCCTGCCATAGGCACCACGACGCTGAAGCTAGGGGAATCTGCGAAATATCTAGGCACGAAATGTACAAGAACGCGTTGTTAGCCCTCTACAGCTGTAAAGTTCCAAATGGCCGTAGATGGAAGCTGTCTCAAAGCATAATGCACTGGCTTTACACAGTGGTTGTTAGGACTATTCTGCTGTACTGGATATTGGTATGGTGGCCAAGTTTCCTCGAGAAATCCACATCTGAAGCATTTCAAAACGTGCAAATAGACATTGGAAATTGTCCGGCTGGGGAAACACTCAGGATGGCCACACTGTAATCGGGAACGGATTACTGTGTACCAAGTTTAAATTTCACAATGAGGTATAAAATGTCCATTCCAGATAGCATATTTTGGTCTGCAGAGGATACTGATGAAAGGGGATCACTCCACTTCTACACCGATGATTCTAAACTAGAGGGAAAGGTAGGAGAGGGGTCTTTTCACCCCAAATGAGGCTGGAAAAATTATTTCGCCCACCCGAGACTGTTGCAGCGTCTTTAAAGCTGAGGTCGCTGCCATACAAGGGGAATTGAACACTTACGTACAGGAGAATCAATACATAACTACGTCTTCGTCAAGACAGGTCACATCCGTCTTTCGCAATCCCGGTAGTATTTAGGCATGCCGCCCGCTACCTGTAAGCTCATTGGAAGAGATTTGTCCCTTAAACAAGAAAGGAATAGGTGAGATAGGACCACAAATTGCAACAATACAAAGTTTATGTGGTCCAAAAAGAATGAGACGCGGTAGAACATTCTTCTTCCATGGACATGTCGCCATTGGAAGGCACGCGGAGAGGCTAGGGGTTCACCACAACGACGTTATGCAGAAGCTCAAAAAATGAAGAATAGCCGGAAATCTTGAAAACCTTACGGCACCTGCTTTGAGAATGCTCCTCACTTTGGATAAGAAATCCATTTAAATACTTAAAAGTTACGCCTTAAAAACTAATTGCATAATACTAATATTTTACTTTATTTTCAGTGGTGAAACATTTGGCATTATCGGCACTAATTGCAAATGTACAGATGCTCTACTAAATCTTCTAGCTGGCGAGCAACGTCCCAGTTTTGGACGTAGTTATGTCAACACTGTTTCTATGGTCGACGAACGCCGAAAGGCACTCGCACATATCGGCTATATTCCAACCATCAATTGTGTTATGCCAGACATGACATGCTATCAAATTTTGAAAATGTTCTGTATTTTGTATGCATATCCGTACAAGGAAATCGATGATATTTGTGAAAATTTATCCGAACATTTTGGTTTCTATTCACACTATAATGTGCGTTTGGATCATTGCAGCATGGGTATACGAGAAAGGATTTCCAATTCGATTGCGATTTTAATGAAGCCCGCCTTTTTGTGCATCGGCAGTTATAGCTGGTGCTTGGATCCACATGGCAGGCGGCAACTCTATCGATTGTTGAATGAGTTGTGCAAGCAGGGTACAGCTGTTACGATGACGTCTGTTGTAAATTGTTTTACTGAAATTCTCTGCACAAAAATAGTTGTCATGCAGCATGGGCAGATTTTGCATATTGGCAAACCGAGTGAAATAGCGTCCGCTATAGCCCATGGTTATTTTGTTACGATGCGCATGAGAAAAGTTGTACAAACTCCGCATGGCTTATCATCTAAAGTTTATTTTCGTTTAACTTCCTTTATGGAAAAGAATTTTCCTAGTTCCATTTTGGTGTAAGTCAGTGCTTGAGATAACAATGCGGTGTCTGTATGTATGTATGTATGTGCAAGATTATAATAATAATTTTTTTTTCAGGGAAGAGGGCACATTAATGCAATTCTTTATACCACACTATAGCACTACACTGGCAACTCTTTATAAAATCATACGCTTAAACTCTTTCCAGTTGAATATTGAGAGTGTGTCGATTGCATCAATCAACATGAATTACGTATTCGGACTAATAACCGAAAGAGCAAAGAGATCTATTATGACATAATTATTCGTATTTATTTATTCGTTAGAATTTTCATATACTACAATATTTCTATGTGCTAACTATTAACTAAAAATAATTTGTATTTGCATTTGAGTTGAATCAATTGTTTGTTTTTTCTTGTTTTACTTTAATGAATGTTATATCCCAACAAACACTGGCAAGAAATGTTCAAAAGTTTTAGAATATGTTATCTCTCAATTTGATTTTCAGCAGTTTTTATCATTTTAAAGTAAACATTTTCTCAAAATTTTTTTAAAGACTGCTTATCAAATTAAGAACGTTTGGAGAAATATTTGAGAATGAATACTTTTGCATTTCGTTCCGCATTGCAGTCTATCGGTAGTCTGCTATACCAGTCGCAAAACGGCTTGTCGTGCACGCAGTTGCTGTCATTCGCTATTTGTCTGTTGGTTCCTCGTTCAGGTAAATTGAATTGCATTTCAATTATTGATCTGAATGATTTTTTTTTTTTTAATAACATATATGATTTTGTGACTGATTGTTTTGTAACTCATCTGCCGACATCGTCTACTGACTTGCCATTAAAATTTAAAAACGAAAGAACGAAATAGTCTGCTGCTTTAATAGTGACCTTCAATTTGCCTGCTTAACCCTACAATGGTCACGTGGTCTACGATCGCAGCTACGAGCGCTGCTATGTTTGCTCCAGCCGCAGCAAATAATGTCGGCCGTTTTCATATCTGCCCTCGAAGTAAGAATAAATATTCGAGAGGGCATGTATTAGTTGTGAGAGATTTACTGGCAAAACGCGCATGAAGAATGCCTGCACATTTTGTGTAAGTGAGTAAAATTTTCCTAATTTCAGAGGCCTCCAATTAATTAATTTTTTTAAGGCAAATGTTTAAATGCTTTGTTACGATGAAAAATAGTTTGTTCATTGTTTGCAATAAATAAATATATTTATTCAATTAATTGTTTGCCTGTTCTCAAAAACACCAAAAACTGGATGCAGTTTGTTTCTTTGGGTCCTTTTTTTTAATTTTAAAAATATTTTGTCTTAAAATCTAACCCATGCGATTTAAAAGTTCCAAAAATGTATTTGATGCTGTATTATCATTTATATTCTCATAATTATTTGTCCTATTTGAAAACAAAAAATGGTCTACGATCGTAGACCAGGTGACTATTGGTGTACGTATATACCACGAGACCGTCGAAGGGTTAAAATGGAATAGTATGCTCTATTGAAAATGGCATAAAGTCAAATAAAATAATCTTCTACTATTCTTTTACTACTTTCCTGGGAAAAAATCGCAATAAATGACAAAATCGTAGAAAAAAGTTGTGTTTTTTTTTCCACTAAATGAATTTTTACGCATTTGTCTTTTTTCAATATAGCATAAACACTTTAAATAAACTTGAAAATATTTTTATAGCTATAAGAATGGTAAAGGTGAATTTTACAGGATTTTTATTGCTATTAGGTTAGGTTATGGTAAGTAGAACCGGCTGGCTAGCAAAAGCCTCACATAGACAGATTTTTTTTTGTCCATAGTGTTGCCAGATAAAAACGACCCTTTATAATAACTATATCAAGCATCCAAGAAACCTTCTTAGCGAATTTCAGGATTTTGTGGAACCCTCCATTTATTGATTTCTCGAGGTTAATGAGGAACGCCTACCCAAAGCAGTTGAGACGCGAATTTGCCAGCGCCGAACAGTCGCACACTTTGTGATCCACTGTTTCTGGATAAATTTCATACTTCCTACAGTTATCACTAGTCACTAAACCCATTTTAAGAGCATGGTAAGCTAACAAAATGTGTGTGTGTGTGTTATGAGACCCACCAGAAGTCTACAGTAGTTCCTTGGTGGTTTAAGTAGTTTAGAATTCCATATTAAGAATGTGCCTTTTAGTTTGAGAACGCTATTAGCGGTTATTTGAGATGCATTTGGAACTAAAGTTGGAGATTTTAGAAAAGGACTGATTCTCCAATGCACCTCAAATTGGGATTTAACAAAAATGTTTATTAGGATGTAATGCCAGTTTTGACAGTGCAAAGATAAGCTGCCATCAGGAGCCTATATCAAAAGCTCAGATCTCCCAGCTTTTAGCTCCGAATGGTGTTACAACTGAATGGTGTTATTAATACCAAAGATCAAGTTTCTTATTTTGCTTAGGGAAAATTTCAAACTATGGTTTTACGCTAACTCGAACTATCATCGCCTTAATTATGATTAGTTAAAATTTATGATCGTATTTTGGCATTTCCATTTATTAGCAGCTAATATATCTACAAAAATCTTTAAAAAGAGTATGAAAATTTTATCAAAAAGCAACACCGGTAGATTCGTTTCGTAGAATAAGTAAATTTAGCTGTAGCTGGCAATCGTTGCATTGCACTATGGTCTGGCGACTACCATTTGCTGGCCAAAAGTAGTGAAGTAACCAAATTGATTTGAAACTTCGTGTTCGCAAGTTTTTGAGGTCGCTGATTTCGAAAATGATGTCAGGTTTTTTAAATTCAAAATGGCGGATCCAATCCGGCGACCGAATTTTATAATTTTTTCCTTTTCACAAAAAGCTTATATGTGAAGTGGGTTTTCGAGATCGCCGATTTTGAATTCGTTGCAAGATTTTTGAGACTCAAAATGGCGGATCCAATATGGCGAGCAAATTCTAAAATTTATTCCTTTTCACCAAAAACTCTTATAAAAATGGGGGATTTTCGAAGTCGCTGAAGAAATATGAAGAAATACTCGAAGAAATATTTCAATTCGAACTACAAGAACTCTGACTACAAAAGAAAAAAATTTGTAAACTTTTAGTAGATATGTATGTCAACTTTAACAGCTGATATCATCATTAGTAAAGGGGCGAAAAAAAAATCGATTTAACGATACTTTAAAATATTACTTTTGGCCAACAAATAGCTGTTCGCAGACCATAGTGCATTGTTATCGCCGTTGTTTTGCTTCTCTTTGTCTAAGCATAGTGCGAAAAGCATTTAAATTATGCAAGACACATTAGCGTGGATTATTATGCAGCAGCGGCGCCACCTCTTCATGTACTCTGTTTTCAGAAGAAGCTACTCAAACCTACATACATACGTGTGTACATACATTTAAGGATTACTTTATTGCAAAAATACGGTTGCACTTACCCGCACTAAATAAAACGCACTAAACAAAATTGCATTTAATGCACTTCAGTAGAAGTGTTAAATGCGTTAGCAAAATATTTTTGGTTACGTCGGTGTGTGCGTCTGGCTGTTTGAATTGTAGTAAGTGAGGTGCACTTCTAGGGTAAGTAAGTTGCAAAAGGTAATAAAATTTGATTCTACTCGTGGATGATGGTAATATAATTTTGTTTGCAGAAGCGCACAGGTATACTTAATGGCAAACGTGCGCACGGACAAGATGCGAGTGGGGAAAAAGGAATGTTTGAATTTTTTTTTACTTTACTTGATAGTTTGGTAAATGGTGATTTGCTTGGTGTGTATGAAGTCTTTTCAACTATAGCGTGTCCAGAATTTTCAAGCCTAACCGCAATAACGAAGAATAATTTGAAGGCGAATGTGATACGACGTTTCCATGCTCTCTCATTCGTCATTCGCTCACCGATTACCCTTCGAATTACGTAATTCGCCATACAAAATTTTTAGAGCGAATTATCTCATTTGTAGGTAATTCTGATCGAATTGGCTTCTCTACTATTTATCGGAAATATGTCGAAATTTTCACTGACCCAGGCCCATTTGCTGACACTTTTTCTAGTTGCTGGGGCATATTTGATGACAATTTAAATTTTTGCCCCATCTTCGATATTTGCAATACACAAAAATAATAATAAATAACGAAGTGCAAAAACAAGAAGTACAGCTGCCAAACGAATTACGAATGTGTCGTGGAAACAGGGTAATTCACGAATTACTTAGCGAGCATATTACGAATCGTGGAAACGTCGTATGAAAAGGTAGACGTATAAGCAGATGAATACAAAGATAAATGCGAAGATGAATATGAAAGCGAAAAAGAATACTAAGACAAATAACGAGACAAATATGAATACTAATACGAACACGAAGCCGAATACGAAGCGTGAAAAATTCCCAAAAATCAACGGTAATTTTTATCTACTTAAAATTGGCATTTATTTTTACTATACTAAAATTAATTATACTAAAATTGCATAGTAAAAATTTTTCTAATAAATGGAATTGAAAAATTTCAAATTTCGATGAAAATTTCTTGCTTTTCCCAAGTTCGGTATGAATTTAAAACAAGTAAGAGCAGCGCTGTCTTCGGCTATGCCTCATACCTTTCATAAACATCTTAGAATTTTACTTTAACAGATTACTGCATTTGAAAAAATGTATATATTCACAGCATACATAGATAGAGGTGATACATATACAAGAAATCACATCTGGCATAAAACATGCTGATTGGACTTTTTGGGATGAGGTATTCATTTCCGCACTTATTTTTTTTATTAAAACTTCCACTAGAAATCGCAACAGGGAAAATTTTCAAATTTTTTTCGAAACCTATTTTCGCAATTTGGCAAACTCCTCCAAATCGATTTTAGACCCATTGTTTCTTCGGAAATTTTTATTAAAATTACACGCAGAATCCTCATAAGCTTAATGCGCAGAGCCAAGAAAAATGGAATCACCCTAATGTGCATATGTAATTTCTAATTTTGCGAGTTCATAATTAGGGTGGCGCGTGTTTGCTGGCCGATGCCACGCAAAAAGTTGTTTTATTTTTTCAAAAAATACATTTTCTAAAGCGCCATGCAGAGTATTCGTTAACTCGAAAGGGCGTACTCCCAGAGCAATCGTACGCGATGCTCCCAATTTCTACTGGGTTTTTGTTTTTCTACACTTCAACTTTTCTTCTAAATGGTTTTTATTTAGCGATTTCACACTGACATTCGCCATCTCAGTTGCTACATTTAGCGATTTCACACAATCTGCGACACTGTTTAACCTCAATTTGAAGTTAACATCATTTTGAAATTAATTTTTTAGCAA